ATATTCTAGATTCTAACTTGCAAGAAAAATTTAGATATTACGTCGACCGTCCTCTAGCAAACAACCAAATTAAATTATTATAAATATAGCTTACAACAATAATATAGAAATTATTAATGAAGTACCAATAGTAATAATTAGATTTCTTAACTGGAATTTTGGATTTTATCCTTAAAAGCATTTATAGATTTGCAGTTAAGTGATTAGTAAATTTTAGTGGACATTTAATTTCGTTCTTTAGAGCGTGATATCTTTTTATTTGTGCCACCTCTTTATGCTTAAGCCTACCTTAATTTTTATTTTAGCATCCTGTAGAATGTTCCGCCTGGAATGTGGTGGCATATTTTTGGAACAACGGTACAATATTTCTCCTTTTTTAAAAGACAAGTTAAGTTTCATATATTTTTCACTACTATAATTACACTTTCATTTGAAGTGCCTTTACAAGGAAATATGTAACAAGACCTGTCGCCCACCAATCCGTCGCTTCTCCTTCCTTCACATGTTCATTCATTTTCAGAATTAATTTTTAAAAGAAAATCCAAATCACAACTGTGTTTTTGTTTTATTTTAGCCGTCGTTTAAGTTATTTAGTTCTTGAGAGTAGTTTGAGAGATATTGCGAAATTTCAGAAGTCTGATATCTACAAGGAAGCATCATATTATTTACATTTAGTGTGCATTCTTATTTTGAAAATGACCATAGTTACACCTTGATAAAAAGTATAACCCGCCTCCACAGCGAAAAAACTTATGTCATCAAAAATCTTCTGTGAAGGGGAAGAAACAGTGAGCAATATAGTTCCTTCAACTATGTAATATTAATAATAAAGTTATTTAGAACGTTGAGAAAATAATTGTTTATTCGTTTCTTTTATAACAATTTTATCTTTTAGCAACATAAAGTAAGCCCAATCTGGATTGAAATTAATGTTGATATATTAAAAACTGAACACAGCACAATAAGTATAATTTCTTTATAATTCTATTGATATATGAATTTGTTTATATAAGTATGCTTGTCTGACCATACTATATATCATAGTTAACATGTCGTTCTAAGTGTAAGAGACTGTTGAAACAATATTTTGTCACCAATTTGTGTTTTTAGTTTTTTTAGTCAAACATTCTCGTTACTGCCCACTTGGGGCCAGACGACAAGGCGCCAGTGTTGTTGTATAAATTGATTTGAGTCACGAAGATTTGCTGAGTTAAAAAGAAAATCAGCAAGTAGAGATGATAAACCTAAAAACAGAAGGACTGTTTGGAAATGGACTAAGGCAGCGTAATTTTATTATTCTTTACTAGGGTTGCAGCCATGTGAGGTCGCTTTCTTCAAGAGCCTGTCATCAGTCTGATGACTGAGTATTTAAACTTGCATCACACTGGGCACGTTTTCAATCAGAACTTGTGTGTGTTCTCCTCTTTGCTTTTTGTGTAACGCTGAACTTCATGATTTGAAAGATAATTATGCATACTTTCACCCACAAAGATGTAGAATAATGTTTATTGCCTCATATGTAGAATTTTAAAAAATGAGAAAAAGATAGCTAATGCAACATTGAATTTGATAGTGTCCGGGAAGAGGGGAGTTGGACAGAATGTGTTAATCTTCCAACCTGTAACAGTGTAACTAATTATCATATTTCAAACATTGTTACAGCACTTTGTTGTCAGTATGATTAATGGTTAATCATCTTTTGCAAGAAAAAACTCGACGTAGGGATTTATTCACTTGTAAACCGGTTCTGTTATATATTCAGAAGCTATTTTAAGTAATGTAAAAATGAATTACAAGATAATTTATAATATTAACATAATATACGTGTCTTTAATCATAGTTATTTTTCTTTAAAAAAAAAGATCCCTGTGTTGTACATGTGTATATTCAGGAAATATATTCCGAAAAGTAACATAAAAACAATGACATTAATACAGTTAATCAAACTCTCACTAAAAGCGCTCTGAAAATAAAATATGAAAGTTTAGTTTCATAAATGTCTTTGTATCATAAAATGCAATGAAAACATAATTTATTCCAAAACTTTCATGCAGTGTTTTGGAGATGCATTTTTAAATAATACATAATGAACAAATTAGTGCTATTTATGTATGTAGCGTATGTGAAATGCATATTATCAGAGAAAAATGGGCATTTTCTTTCATTTTTTACACCTATCTAGTACTTTTAAGATTTTTTTTTATGAATTTGAATAACTGTTTTTATATATTGAGAACTATATATCTCACAGCAAAACCTTCGAAACCAGTATCAATAAATTATTTTTAAAAGTCAATAAATTAAATAGAAAACAGTTATTTCTGGACTGTGTAGTAAAATTTTAACTTTAACACGTCGTCAACTGAGTGTTGTTTTTCATTGAATGGTATTAGCTGTTTAACTAATAGAAAATGAGTGATCAACATTCTTAAGCTCACTGCGTTGCTTGTACTAAACATTATTTTTTTACTTAGCTACAAACAGTAAAATATAAGATCGCAACTGTTAATTAATGCCAAATATAATGACACCTGTAAGCATTCATTAGATGACATCAATAAAACTCTTCTGCACAAAACGCAGATCAATTAAATTGTATTCGAGTATCTGTTAGTGATACTTTCATTATTTAAATTATTCCCGAACCCACGGAACTCACTTAATGGAGAGTTCAATTCAACCAATACTGTGTTAAGTCGTCAAATTAAAACGATCTTGAATACGAAAAAAAGCAAATCATGTGGCAACCACAGTCGATAAAAAGTCGCGGTGGAACGGAATGTATCAGAACTACATTTTTACATTGTTTGGTGTTTCGTACGTAGTTTGATGCTATCGAAAATTTATTGCTTTTTGAAAGGGTATTTAACAGCCTTTTCCGATGCAACATTTTCATGCATTCAGACTATAAATATGTATTGAGATCGGGGATTTAAAAATTTCAAGACGGGGTTCTCCTTCGAACTTAATGACCTTGGAAAACAAAGGAATATTGCTGAATTTGAGGCCCCTGGACTATCCCGAAAGAGACTTGCAACAAATCGTTCCCAAAGCCAAGGTAAAAAAAGTGCAGCGTCTGTAACAGGTAAAAATCCATGAACGCACAGGTTAGTGCAAAAAAGCCGCCCCAAACAACAATATACAAAATAATCAAAACAGATCGAAGGATCTCTGTACTGGAAAGTGACCCTAGTCACATGTACATACGTTGGTTCAACAAAATATTCGTTCAGCCGTCTCATACCTCAAGCAGCTGAGAATTAAATGGGTATTCATGCTATTCTTTACAAAGACATACCGGTTAAGTCGTCAAACGCAGCGCCTATGGATTTTTATACGATTGGACTGTTAGAACGGGTGCTGGGAAACAGTCGTCCTCGTATACTAGATAGATTATGGAAACCTTGTAGGGCGGAGTGGTGTGCTATGGACATGACAACCTTACGACGGAGGCTTTTACAATGGAAACTATGCTGCAGGGCTATTATCAAAATGTATGTTCATCAGATAGAACATGACCGCACATAACGACATGGACTGTAATGAGGTTCAAAAATCGTTCTATTGTAATATACCCAACTTCTGTACTATTAAATTTTCAAATAGTGTTATGTATACAATCAGTAATGATGTGTTTCGGTTGTTATTTTCTGTTCTAACCTACTCTATAAGTCTCTTGTGATAGGAATTGTAAAATCTCGACATTAATTAATCATATAAACTCCTGTATCCTCGTTCTTTTAGTCAAATTTAACTTCATTTTTATACAGTTTGTTGGACTTAATAGGCTTATATTAGTGTCTTATCATCCTAACAAATGTTTAATTTCAACAATATATATATGCGGGTCGGGCGAGACCTAGAACGCTAGTGTTTCCGAGCTGAAATCTGAGGACCCATAGTTAGTATCCCATTGTTGCATATTAGCACCTCGTACTTTTAAGATTTGGATGCGCCATGACAGCGACGGTTAAATCCCACTATTCGATTAGAGTAGCTCAAGAGTAGACTAGCCGCCAAAACAAACGAGCATTAATATATATAAATTCTTTAACATCCGAGCGCACAACATGCTATCATGGAAGGTTGTCATGGTTACCTCTGGTCACTTGATCATTTTCTTAGTATTTTCAAACATTGACGATATATATATAAGATACAGAGGCGTCGTTAGGCATTGGCACACAGGGCACGTGCCTCGAATCCTCAGTTCGTGTCTTGAAGAATTAGAACAGAAAACCATGATCGATATCATACTGAAACTCCGAAAATTCCCGCGCCTATGGGCTCAAGCCCCGAATCCTTTAAGGATCTAGCTATGCCTCTGATAAGATATGTTCATTGGGCTAATCAAGAAGTTTTAGTTCATGTTTTATAATTACAAAGAGATAACGATGAAGTAAAATGAATTATTTAAAATGTAGGGATTACATAGCTAAGCGATACATGTTCAACCGAGAAATATTTCATTATGTCAACAGCTTTTATAACATACTCATTCCAACATTATGTCAACAGCTTTTATAACATATTCATTCCAACATTATGTCAACAGCTTTTATAACATACTCATTCCAACATTATGTCAACAGCTTTTATAACATACTCATTCCAACATTATGTCAACAGCTTTTATAACATACTCATTCCAACATTATGTCAACAGCTTTTATAACATACTCATTCCAACATTATGTCAACAGCTTTTATAACATACTCATTCCAACATTATGTCAACAGCTTTTATAACATACTCATTCCAACATTATGTCAACAGCTTTTATAACATACTCATTCCAACATTATGTCTCTAATTTTCACTGATTCTTTGTATTTATTGTAGTTTTCCTTAAGTTTCGAGATATTAATTGTTGTAATTGTTCTTTTTAACAGTTTATGTATCATTTTAAGAATTTTATTTATGTTTCACTGAATTTCAAGGAAAAAAAATCAATATTTGTAAACATTTTATTTAAAAACCTTGTCTACGAGACGTTTTATATACAACATACTAACACTAAAAAAAGATATATTTAGTTCAGGTTGTTAAAATAAAGTTATAATTAAATATATGAGTATTACTTTACATGGATATTTCACAAGGCACAACGTTTACTTTAGGTGAAGTTACTTAGGGTGGTGGAGTCTTTCAAGTTCTGAACTCCTTTTGTTAGAGGTATTGTCAACTCAGAAGCTCATAATTCATATGCTTCCTGGCGCTTCAATATCACAGTGCGGTTTTCCTGAAATTCGAGAGACAAACCAAACTTCTCGTGTGGCAACGCCATTGCCATTATTCAGGAAAGATACCTGGATGAATAACAGTGGTCTATTGGTCAACCTTTTTTATATACCACTTTAATGAACAGCTAAAATATACTGTTAACGGGACAAATGTTGACTGGTTACGAGCGTGATGTGATGTAAAATGGCGTAGCAAATATTGAGTGTTTGATTCATCTGACCGACAAAACAGCAACTAAAGATCAGAAATGGACAGGAAGATGATCTCTAGCCACATCCACACTCTGTGACGATCATGTCGTCAAGTTTTCCTTCACGCCGTTGGCTATGACTGTCAATCACTTTGACCATAAGAGGTTCTCTTTTCTTGGAAGTACAACAAAGTCGCGGGATCTTGTTTTTCATGATCCTCCGCATCCAGTTCTGGATCAAGGCATGCTTGTTGAGAAAATTCCTGTACCTTTTATTGCACTTTCCTTTGCACACAAAGGCATCAAACTCTTTGGGTTCAATGACATATTCCCAGCCGGTCCCTTTGAGAGGGATACTTTGGAAGGATACTTTCATTTTGTACCGGCAGCATTTTTTAGTCTTTTCACCATGAGTACAGTCCATGGGATATTTGTGGGTGTGGCGGACATTCCGCCGTGAGCGACCCGATCTTTCTGAGAGTTGGATTTCAAGAACAGTCTGATGAAGTACCACACTACTTTGTTGGTTGAAGGAACTGGCTTCTAGGGAATTGTTAACTGATGTAAACACAAAGTCACAGTTACTACATACAATCTGAAGTCCGAGTTTCGACTCGGAGTTGGTTAACCAGCTTTCCACCGTGCTGGAAACATCAAATGTTTCCCAGCCCTCTGAACCCTGTAGTTCCAACATGCGAGAAGTGACTAGAATCCGTGTCTGGGATTTGTCCCCCACAGAAGTATTCACCAGTCTATACACAGACACCACTGGTTGACTTTGGTTGATTTTTGTGGAATCCACGCTCTCGTGTCGTGGATAGCTTGTAAAGTTCGCTGGAAAGAGAGAACCGGATCCCCGAGTTCTGTAAACACGTAAAGTTGCTGACGTTACAAAGTTATTACCAGAGAGTTCTCTGATATCTGGTAAAAAATACACGTTCAAAGATTCAGGTGTTCTAATGTCCATCTTAGAAGACGAACCTGTAATGAAAATAAATAATGTCAACAGTGTTTGTATATCTTAACGATCTATAATAAAAGTTTTAGTTGTTATTAAAACCCTGGTAATGTGCTAATTTTTTTCATGACTATGGGATTTGTAAGCTTATGATATAATTGATAAAAAAACAATAACTGCTTTCATGAAATTAAAAGATCATTTTCACACTCCCTATTACATACAGTCATACTCCTTGATAGAATCTAAGGAAATTGAATAAATCATTACAGAGGTTCTTCTATTGTGAATGATTAATTGGAAAATATAAAAGATCGAACTATGAATGTGTAAAAAAGTTCTAGTAATTATACACTAAAATAATTCACAGTTCATCAAATGTTCAGGGCAGATCCTGCAAGAACAACATACTGAAAGTTTGTACTAGAATAGAAATTCATTTACATTTTTTATGTTGTTTATACCAAATTCTATATAAGTTTTTCAAATATAGGGGAAGGCTTCATTCGCTGATATTGATTTCAATAAAAGTTTTTAAAATGTTGATCGATTTCTTCAGAACAGACCATTAACTGGGCTGTTTCAAAACTTCAACTACAAAAAAAAGATCGAAAAGGACTCGCATAATGATGTCAAAATGTGATCTCATTGAATAAATGAGTGTATGAATACCCTTTCTCTTTTTGTAGTGGTACATTTACATTTTTAACTTTTATAAGGAACAAGAAGGTAATAATGATATTTGGTGGAACTAAACAGAGTCTACCAGAGTGTATGAGATACGAGAACAAATCAAACTTTCTAGCCTTCCGGTGGCTTAGCGGTGAGTATGAGTGCTTATAACACCATGATTCGAGGGTCAATCCTTCTGATGGGCACAGCGCAGATAACTCAACGCAAATCTTTGCGTCTAATAACAAACGCACACACAAATTGAGGAAGTATCCTTTTTTTTTTTCTAAACGCCATCGAGATATCTTCCTAAAAAGAATTTAAAAATCACAGTAATATTGTCCAAAAGACATTTTTAGGAAGTGATCAATATCCAATTTATGGGGTTCTATAAAAACTTGTGAGACGGTGAGCTTCTGCTTCTAAAAAACCAAATAGATAAAGACATAGATTTTTTAAAATTTGTTATACTGTGTAGGGTTTTCTTGATTGCCAATATATTTTTTTATTAGTGACGAAGGAATAAAATAATATGAACACGTTATTACAGACTAGACTATTAGAAAAGACGAAATAAAACTACAAAAACGACTTTCATACTACCCAAGTAACGTTATAAGATTGGTGCACAATGAATAGATAAAATAAACCATCAAACTGTTGTTACACAAATATTTGAATACAGTTGGTTTACAAGAGATAGATGAAATAAAATATCAAACTGTTGTTACACAAATATTTGAATACAGTTGGTTTACAAGAGATAGATGAAATAAAATATCAAACTGTTGTTACACAAATATTTGAATACAGTTGGTTTACAAGAGATAGATGAAATAAAATATCAAACTGTTGTTACACAAATATTTGAATACAGTTGGCTTACAAGAGATAGATGAAATAAAATATCAAACTGTTGATTGTCTTCTCTATCTTGCATTCTCTGTATTGCTTTGTTAAACAAGATGTTAGACTAAGGGAAAATCCCAATTCATAAAGGACCTAAATTTCATGTGATCATTCGTTTATGTGGTCCATACAGGTTACGTTTATGTGGTCCATACAGGTTACAGAATATTGCCATGGTTCCTGGAAGTGGTATAGCACCTTTTATTACTTTTTCTTGCAGTCCCTACATGTTTAAGTTGATAGTATGGTGTGTGTTTTTTTTAATATTACACGGAATTTATGGTGTGTTGCCCTTGTGAAAGTTCGTGCTGCATTTGATAAAATGTGTTAGTACAGGACATTGGTTAAGAACTTTTACTAAACTGTGAATTTGTACGTTAATAGCTATATGGTAGATTTAAGCTGTTTACTCATGGCAGTGTCTATAAAATAGTTATACAGTGTCTATAAAATAATTATATAGTGTCTAGAAAATAATTATATAATGCCCATAAAATATTTATAAAATGTCTATAAAATAATTATATAGTGTCTATAAAATAATTATATAGTGTATAAAAAATAATTATATAATGCCTATAAAATAATTATATAGTGTCTATAAAATAATTATATAGTGTATAAAAAATAATTATATAATGCCTATAAAATAATTATATAGTGTCTATAAAATAATTTCGCCAACTTTGTACTTCCCTTTCTTAGAAGTCTCCTCGTACAAGGCTGAGCGTGGCCTAGTAATTATGGCACCTGGACTGTGAATACAGAGATTCATAATTTACGTTATGCTTTCGCAAAAACACACTCCGCACTTTGGGGTCGTGATTGCGCTATAAGAATGACGGCCAAATCCCAATATTCTATCAGACAAGGGCCCCCCCAGTGGCACAGTGGTATGTCTGCGGACTTAGAACACTAGAATCCGGGTTTCGATATCCGTGGTGGGCCGAGCACAGATAGCCCATTATGTAGTTTTGTGCTTAATTACAAACATACATACATACTATCAGACAAGAGCAGCTCAAGAACTGGCGGTAAGTGTTATTGATCAGTTGTCTTTCTAATAGTCTCTCAGTTCAAAATTAAGGAGTGTGTATGTGTGTGTGTAATTTTGCACAAAATTTCTGAAACAAATAATAATCTCGTACACTTATTATAAACATCTAGAACATGTTACGATTTCAAAACACCGTTTCTTATTTGTATTAGTTAACGTGGATCCCATTTCAAAATTTAATTGCTTCAAAATACGAATAAAGTATTTTGTCGAGAAATCACTGAAGTAAGTTTTCCGACAAGGCAACTAACTTGCTTTGTCACTTTTTACAGTGGCTTTAAGTAAATGTTTCTGTAAAGGGAATTTATTTTGTCATTCTTTACAATGGCTTTAAGTAAATATTTCTTTAATGAGGATTTATTTTGTCATTCTTTACAATGGCTTTAAGTAAATATTTCTTTAATGAGGATTTATTTTGTCATTCTTTACAATGGCTTTAAATAAATGTTTCTGTAAAGGGAACTTATTTTGTCTTTCTTTACAATGGCTTTAAGTAAATATTTCTTTAATGAGGATTTATTTTGTCATTCTTTACAGTGGCTTTAAGTAAATATTTCTTTAATGAGGATTTATTTTGTCATTCTTTACAATGGCTTTAAGTAAAAATTTCTTTAATGAGGATTTATTTTGTCATTCTTTACAATGGCTTTAAGTAAATATTTCTTTAATGAGGATTTATTTTGTCATTCTTTACAATGGCTTTCAGTTTTCACAGTTTTCATCACAACTGTAACAAAAAATTAAATATTTTCGTAGAAACTATTTAAAACCAATCAAATTATTTTTGATTTGTATCTTCATAATTGAAATTTCACAAAAGTTAAGACAATAAATAGCAATACTGCGAAAAGGGCATCAAGTTCATTAGAATTGCAAACTTAAGCATATTGTTGTTTCTTGAACCCCTTCATTTTGTGATACGATAAGGACCATAAAAACGTCTACTGTCTTGTTTAGACGTGAGCAGCTGCAAGAAATGAGGACTAACTATCTCAAGTCGGAACCTGTGGTCACGAAAATTTGTAATTACCTAGCGAGCCGCCAGGGTGTTTCCCCGAAAAAGCCTCAAGGTTTTTACGTGTATTTTTGACCCACTGTGTATATGTGCTCCAAATAACACAAGAAACCATCACATCTTCGGCTCTGAAAATGTCAATTATTTTTTGAATGAGGATTGGGTGGGGGTATAATTAACAAAACATTCTCGAAACTAGAATTTAACATATTTATTAACGACGAAAAAAATCGTGTTCTTTTATTGTTTAGTTTAATTTTGTTCAAGTTAGGCATTATTTTAAGGAAACTGTGCTTTGAAATTTTGTTTACTTCACTAGGCACATAATGAAGGTATGGAGGAGTGATTGTAATATAAGAAAATCGGAAAAAATCACTAATTCAAACAAGTCTTTTTTTTTATTATCACTTACACCGTTCAATGCATTTGTTATCGCTGTTTTTCATTCTATACTGATGGATATTTTAATAAGATTAAGAATTATCAGACCTATAAATTTGTAGTTTTGATAAACTGCTTTGTCAAGTGATTGTAGCACCACGTTTTTGAAGCAAGACTCATATATAAAGAATTATTGAACTTTACAAAACTACTCTTAACATTTATAGCACTTGTTTCAACATGTAAAATGAGCATGGTGAGAGAAATATTGGTATCAAAAGCTTACGTTATGTTAAAATACGCTTAAAACGATTATACAAAATGGTATTTTTAAGTTGAGTGCTAGAAACTTAAATTCACTGGAAGACAGTAAAATCCGACATGCACATTATAGACTTAAAGATCGTAATATGAGAAAGTTGGTGTTAAAAAAATTTAAATACTCTACTGTGAATAAGAGGCATGTGAAGAAATCTGTTTTACAAACACACATCCAGGTAAAATTATTGTTAACAATTCATTGAAAACCACTATTGACATACAATGCTTATTACATACTTAAATAAAACCAACAAACTACTTATAGCTAAGAAATTTCTACTTAGTTCATGTTATTATCAGACTAATTTTCAATACGTGCTACGATTATCATACATTTAAGGCTCAATTATAAAATTTGTAACCGCGTAAAAAAAATCAAAAAGTTGATATTCACGAGCCGTATGGCAGTTTGAAATGTTTGAAGAAAGTGCGCAAATCTATAACTTACCGTCGTAAAAAAACAGTGCAATAAAACTTGAAGTATTCAAAACCGTTTTTGGTAACGTACGAAATAACAGGGAAATTTTTAAGTCGTCTGTCTACAAAATTGGATTTCACACTGTAACAGTTGTTGTCAAGCAATTTGCTAATATAAACAGTCTCAAGCACTACTGTGTCTGCCAGCCTGAAGAGACCTGGTATTAGGTGAAAGGCCTCGTCGGCATTGG